AGGGAGCCCGATGCGGGACTCGATCCCAGGACTCCAGGATCATGACCTGAGCCGAAGGCAGTCGCTCAACCAACTGAGCCACCCAGGCGCCCCTCATTTATTTTTCTGATGGGCGTTCCCTTGCCTCTAGGTTGGCTATGTCCCAGACTGGATCTTTTTGCTGAGGAGTGTGATGAGGATCAGTCCAGACCAGGGCCTGCAGTTTTCTCAAATGCTAGTGCGAGAGGAAGAGCCATTGGCCAACATTGACCAGGTGAGCATCAGTTGGTTGTTTGGGACAGCTTTTTGTGGCTTGTATAACTGTCAAGAAGATTCTCTTTTGTTTTTCTCTTACCAGTGTCTTGATTCTTTTGTCTGCTATTAATCTTCCAGTTTTAAAAAATCTGATGTACCAGGGGAGCTTGTCTTCTAGTCTTTTATTGTTTGAATACCTGTCATTTACTTTTGTTTTGAAGTATTTTAGAGGATTCATGTGTCAAGTTGTGAGGATCTTATTTCTTTGTGTGGTGGTTGGTGGTGGGGAGTGGAGGATGTCATTTGAGAATGGTAGCCCCACCCTACTCCCACCTCATTATCCTCTGCTGACTGAGGCCACCTGAAGTCTGCCTGCATACCTGGTTATGGTGAGTGCTTTCGAGTCTGTAGACTTTCATCTTGTGGGTGTCTGACTAACCTGGAGTTAGGTGAACGTGAGACTATTATTTTAGCATAACGTAGTTAGTGTTTAGATATAAACACATGTCCAGTTACCTTCAGTAAACTGTGTACAAAGGGCTCTGGGTAATACAGAGATATGTAACAAAGCTTGAAGCAAGGCAAAACCAACAACCTGTATAGATATAAGTGCAGTCATACTGGGTTCATATATCATGGAATTTGCAGGGATTTTGGAGATCATGATTAAGGGGTTTGAGCCAAATTTACATAGATCTCAAGGGGAAGGAAAACTCCAGATTACGTCTAGATTATATTTCATATTTCTAAAGTATTTTTTAATTGATTTGAGAAAGAGTGAGAGAGGGAACACAAGCAGTGGGAGTGGCAGGCAGAGGGAGGGAGAAGCAGACTCCCCACTGAGCAGGGAGCTTGATGCAGGACTCAATCCCAGGACCCTGGGATCATGACCTGAGCTGAAGGCAGACACTTAACTGACTGAGCCACCCAGGTGCCCTCTAAAGTATTTTTAATATAAACTTTTTTCTTGTACTTTAAACATGGAAACAGTTACACAGTTAGTAAGTTCATTACCTATATTTCACTTCGTATTAAGGCTTATTCTTTAATATCTACTTAACTCTAATGATTGTTATCTAAGTCAATGTTTGCCTTTTCTTAACTGTGCCTAAATAATGAGAGTATAAGGGCTAGACACCAGGTGTTGACGGCCTCTAGGATTTGATTTAAATAATGGATTGTTAAGATTGCTTTAATCACTTCAGAGGATTTTGGGGATTCACACTGATAAAAGTACTTCCTTTGATCTACTTGAGTAAAATGCCCTGTTGGTGAGTATGACATCAGTGATATAATTTCACAAAATTACCTAATAAATAATGACCATGAGTTACTTGAATTTTGATAATAAAAGAAAATGCAGGGGCGCCTTACTGGTTTACTCAGAAGACTCTTGATCTCAGGGTCATGAATTTGAGCCCCATGATGGATGTAGAGATTACTAAAAGAAATAAAAACTTAAAAATGCAAAGGAAGGAACGAATTATTGAATTTCTAAATGAGATTCAGTTTCAGGAACTATTTGAATAGGAAAATAAAACCCATCTCCTTTGGGTAAAAATGTGGCTTGCTATCTGTTTCAGATTGTAGATGTTCTCATGGAAAACAGTTTAATTCAGCAGTGTACTTCCTTCTTGTTGGATGCCTTGAAAAATAATCGCCCAGCTGAGGGGCACCTCCAGACTCGCCTATTGGAGATGAACCTGATTCATGCACCCCAGGCAAGTGCCATTTCTAGGCTGAAAACAGGGGACAAAGGACCTGTTCGTTTCTGTGTGGGACTTGCACACCTAAACACAGTGCCTTTGGGCTGGGTGCTTGTGCCTCAGTGGACATTCTCTAGGACCTTCCTGCAAGAGTTTTCCAGAGTCCTTGGTGCAAAACTTTCACAGAAACAATTACAACTGGGGCATCTTTTCTTCTCTTTTCCGTTCTTCTCTGTTTTCTTTTCTTTGCTGTGGTAAAGTATACATAACAAAATTTACTATTTTAACCATTTTTTTTTTTTTAAGATTTTATTTATTT